ATTTAAAACTGTAAATTCAAGATCATCTGCCATTTTAATCAGCTGTACTCCGATTCCATCATTTGTACTTGAACCCCAAATAGTATGATGGGCATTAAAATCACCTCCTATGATAACTGGTTTTTGTAACTGGGAAAATATATTTATCCAATCATTTATTGTGCATCTTATTTTCGGGGCTCTATATAGTGACATAAAACTAATTTGATTATTCCCATATTTAATTTTTATAGCACATAACTGTATTTCATTAATGTAATTATTATTGTTAATTTTTAGCTCAGTAAAACAAATTGATTTATTTATAAGTATAGCAACTCCACCATAACCATCCAACCTATCATTACAAACAAGATTATATCCATTAAAATTATATATATTACATTTTTTTTGTTTCACTAATAAGAGCTATGTCTATTTCGTTAGTTACTAAATAATGCATCATGTTATTTTTATTTGAGACAGCAGAACGAGCATTCCACTGTATTATTTTTAACTTAGGTTGACAAGACATTTTTTATTTAGTATTAATCAAAGTACCCTCCAATACCTGTTCAATATTATTGACTATTAATTGTCTATCTATAGACCGTATATCATCAAAAGTTTATATACTTTGTAAAAGCTGATATATAAAAGTTGAAAGACTTTCAGTTACATTTCTTTTAATTTCAATGCTTTCATAATTTGGTACAATTCGATTAACAGGTAAAGGTTTCTCAGGTCCAAAAACAAAAGGAAACATTGGTTTCTCAGTAGACGACTGTTATGTTGTTTTACTTCCCACTATGTGGGATTTTACCATCGACTTGGTTAATTGAATTGAATTGACTAGGAACTATAGAAACATGTCTTTATTGTCTGACTTTCGAATTTACAATGTTGTTCTCAACGTCTGTTGTTGAGAACCAAAACCGACGTACAAAACTCGCGGTGCGCGGTTGCCGCGTCTATATTAAAATATAAAAAAAACTGTCTTTAACAACGACTGTGCAACTGGTGAACTAACTTTTCTTTTTTTATTTGTTTGAGATTTAGTGATGTTTAAATCAGTGTGAGTAAAAGCAGAATTTGGCTTGTGTGAAACTGGTTTAGATATCGGAATATTTTTGCTAGTTGTAGGCAAACTAGGAAAATCCCTTTCATATTCTGCTAAGCATTCAAAGGAATTGTTACTTACAAAATTTGAAAAGGACTTTTCACAGTAATTACGTGCTTCTACAAAAGATAGGTTATGTTTAGCCATTACATTTTTAATTTTTTTCTGTTTTTCATATTGGGGGCATTTATTGCATATTGACAGATGGTTCCTACTTTTACAATGAATACAAAATACATTTTCTCTATTACAATTATGATCTTTTTCTTTAATTTCACTACATTGAATACACCGTTCTTATGTACTTTTACACTGTTTGGATACATGTCCAAATCTAAGACATTTATAACATTGAACGACTTCTCCAATATACTCTGCAACAGGACAAAATACCTTATTAAAAGAAACATAATTCGGCAGAACGTTGCCTTCAAATGTGATAATTATTGTCTTTTTATCTATGTATTCAACTTTATTATCATTAATAACTATAATAATAATAACTATATATATATATATATATATATATATATATATATATATATATATATATATTATATAACTTTAGAAGATGACTCAATCTACGTTATACGGAGTATCTACGTCCCGTACTAAACCCTTGACTTCCAACAAATGATTAGGTATGTACGCCTTAAGATTTTCCAATTTTAGAGCTTGATTATTTACTAAATTATTTGCTTCCAATAAAGACTTTAATAAAACCTTGATACGATTTCTACCTATGCTTTTAATGTCTAAAATATTTGTTAGTTTTAATTTTTTGAATAATATGTGACCAACAGTTATCGAATGTAATCTACCTAAATTTTCAGCATTTACTTTTTCAATATAGACCCAAATATTTTTAATATTGTACTTATCTGAACGTAAATTGAAGGTCTTCTTTTCCGGTTCCATGATAGCTCCTACACTGTTGACATTTTTTATGGTCATGCTTTGATTATCAGTTTTGTTTAAATGTTCTTCACTATTATCTATTATCATTTGCGCCAACGAAGACCTCCCTGCACTACTGTCCCCCATTGGGGGACCAAAATAAAAGTTTTCAACCGTAAAACACTTAGATTATTTAACTATACGGTCAAAACTAAAATATTACCTAATTATACATAAAAAGTAAATCACAATACTAATTAGAAATCCGGCTCGTTTATTATGTTTTTTGCACTTAAATTTTTAAATCGATACTGTTTAAAATTATCAAAAACTGTAATGTTTATCTTTTAAATTCAAATTTTCACTTTGACAGTTATTTGACGTATGATCCTGAAAATTGTAGCCTGTTATGTATGAGTGATACTGTATGTCGCCTGGCACATAAACTATTCTTGCTACTAAGTTTGAAATTTTGTATTTTTGTACCAAGTTGAATTCGATTAGCTGTTAAATGTGTGTTTCACTGTTGAACTTCTGCTGTTGTATTGTTGGTATGTGTTACGTCCAACATCACGAATATTGATGACGGACTGTAATTTTTTTTTGTTCCCTTGGAAGATTGTAGTGATTCTTCTGTTTTTTTGGAGAACTGTCATAACTTTTTTGGTTCTTTGGAAGACTGTTACGATTTTTTTGTTTGTTTTGAAACTATTAGTTTGAGACTGAACTGTTTGTGTATCGATTAAGGTTGGTATGCCATATATCCCTTTTCTTTCTTCGTTTCCAAGATTGTGTATTAACGTTTTGGATATATTTTCTTCTTTTGTCCTTTTGGCAGTTTTCTGAGTTGGAAATTTTTCGCTGTGACCGATCCCGGAGGATATTAATATGGAACTATTGATCATACTGTTTTTTTTTTGTATAGTTCGATTTTAAACCAGTAATTGGAAGTTCGAAAATCCATTGTTGACTGTCATAGTCAACTTTATTAATGTTTGATGCTATTTTGCTAATCTACCGAGTGGATAACCATAGTGAAGCTTATTTAAGCTACTTTGTTGGCCACCTGCCTTTGTTGAGCTGGAAGCACCCCTCTTTTCGCTTCCAGAAACTTTAACACTGTTCTGTTCCACCTTTTTGGTGAGACTAGAGTTATTTTTGTAGAAATCTGCCAATGGTCGTTGTACCTAAAAGCCAACGAACTGTACCTGGTGCCGATTCATCAAGTCGAGCATCCAGTTTAATTTTGAATGTAGATATGTTAGTGCCATAGCAGTTATGACAAATAGTTTTGGTTATGATTTTTGTTTGATTCACTGAGTCGTGAAGCACTGTTGCAGTAGCTAGAAAATGCTACTGTTGTTCTAACCTGGATTCTGTTTGCCCTAAACGAAAACTGTTCCGGTTTGTCGAGATTTCGCTTTTACATGGGGTATTGTAGCATTTGTATTTTCTTTCGTATGTATTAAAAATCACCCTATATCTATTAAAACACCGAACTATTATTTCAATCCTTTTTGCGTCGCTGAGATTTATAAAAAGCACATTTTAAAGTTGGTTTATATAACACAGATGGGTATTTCTTAGGTATTCTTTTTATCAAGATGTCGCTTTAGGATATTTTGCGCCTCAAATAAACAGGAATTTTTTCCGTTTATGTTTGGTTTATACCAAGTTGGGTGAACGTTTTCGATAGATGATGAGATCACTCTCAGCGAAGCTGCTCTTAAAGGCGTTTAGTGTTAATGTAGTCCGAATTTTTCTTCAAATTCGTAATGTTTTTCGGTTTTCGTCTTTTGTCATGTGAAAATGTGTAATGTGGTGGCGGTGTTAAATTTTGTGTGAAGTTGAGATGAGGTTGGTTTAAGATCTTGACGTGAAAAGAGCTTGGGTAGTATTCTTCAAGGAACCGGCAAATTTATATGTGGAGAAGTGAATATTATACTCAAATGTAATGTGTCAGTTTTTGTCTGAGTAATCACCGTTTTGTTCGTTCTGTGTTTCACCTGAGGGATTTGTAAGACGGCATTTCGAACAGTTTAAAAGGGATCCACCTGTTTTCGAGAAGTTTTGAAAAGCCAAGCTTTGAAGATTACAGTTAATTAACCCGAATCCCGATGATCCAGCCCAACTTCAACAGAGTATCGTTTATTTGTTTGTGCCTGGTCATTCAAGATCATTTTGCAGTTTGTGAGACGCATTTGTGTTGTTTTGAGTCCAGTTTCAACCCCAAAACTTTTAAAGTTCTATTATAGTAATATTCGGTGAAATCAGGTACTTTGTTTTGCTAAAAATTTTTTAAAGTAAAAATAGACATTTTTCATCAATAGTTGCTTTCATGACAAGTTAAAAAATTGTAATAAATAAAATTATAAAGATTAGGGATTGGCTAACTGTCATATTAAGAATAATTATTTATTCTTATAGTTTTAAAATTTAATCTTGACATATGAAAGTTAGTATTATTTTCTTCGTACATTTGGTACATACCTAACCATAAATTTTGAATTTGTTTTGTTTTGTTTTTAAAAAGGTTGACCTTAATGTAAACTCAATTGAAAAATCTAGATTGTCCAGGAAATCCATGTAACTACCTTTTTGATTCACTTTTTGTAGTTACCCCTTTCCAGTCCCTTTTATTCACTTACCCACGCCCAACTCTCCAATTAAAACAAGAATAGCCGTTCGCAAACGTTCCGGTTTGTTTTGCTTACCCTATCTCGAGCCCAGTAATTTCACCCAATAAGTAATACCCTATGTGGTAGGCAATATAACCGCTACAATGTTATGTCGAACAGTAGACTTGGTGTTTTGGAAATCACTGATTTACCGTTTTCTGCTATTTTTTAAGTTCAATTTGCGACTTTTTGCTTTCCTGAGGCTGGCAACACTGGAGCCAACCCTATATTCTCTTGAGTTTTATTTAAGTATTTTCAACAATATTGCAAGAGTTAACAAAATTCTTTGTTTCGAATCACTGTGAATGACAGCTTTTGTTTTATAGACAAGATGGGAAAATCGTTAATGTGGAAGCACAACCAGATCTTGAAAACACGAATTATAAAAAAACATTAAAGCTTACTTGGCTGGCAGAAACAGATAAGGCCCAATTTACTCCGACTTGGTGTGTTTATTTTGATCATATTATTAGTAAACCAGTCTTAGGAAAAGAAGAAGATTTCAAACAATTTATTGGTCATAAAACAAAGGTAAATTGTTTTCTGTTTTAAAATTCTCAAACTTATTTAGTCGTTCGTGGTATTTTCTATTTGTAGTTCTCAATTGTGTTCGGTTTTATGGTGTAACCTAACAGAAATATATATATATATATATATATATATATATATATATATATATATATATATAAAACTGTTTTGGATGGGTTGGAGTCAATAAAAGGGGCTATTTGTTGACTATTTTTTACTCGAGCTTTCAATTGTGATTACAATTATTATCAAGAGCTTCTAAAAAATACAAAATATCTTACAAAGTTGAACTAGAAATAAAAAATTTTTTGTTAACTCACCAAATAAAATTAGTTTGTTATATAAAACTGCTGCTTACATAAAAATTACAAAAAATATTAATAAAAAAAATGTCCTATTCTAATAAATGTTTCTCTGAAAAATTTTGATAGTTTTTTAACAAAAACAATTGAATTTGTAAACAAAAATTGAATAGCTACAAACCGCCTAAATGTCATAAAAACTGACTTAAAAATTTTTATTTTTGACATATTGTCAAAAATAAAATTTTGTTTAAAAAATTCTTCTTTGTTTAGTAACAAAAAAGAAGAAGATTTATTCACCATTGATAGATGCCCGAAAAAATGTAACAAATACATGGAAAATTCAAAAGGTGATATTTTACTGACTGCATATATAAATTACATAGAAATAATATAATTATAAATTTTGCTTAGATTTTGAATTTCTGACCTTTGTTTAAATTATTCACTTTTGCTAATACAAACCATTTCCAAAAAAGTTCTTTTAAATTTATTACTTTCACTACATAAAATTTTAATATTATCAAAATCCATAATATGGTCTTTGTCTATTACATCTTCTGCCAAAGCACAAGATGGTTTCTTAATTCTCCAATCACTCTTGTGAGAAATAATGCGATTTGAGAGATTTCTTCCAGTCTCACCAATATACTCAGCTTCACACTGAGTACAAACAATGCTGTATACTACACTTTGATGTTCTTTGTTGCTATTTTTATATTGTCAATAACCTTTAGTGTTTGTATTAATTTAGGAGTTAATGATGGTATAAAAGGTAGTGAATGATAATATATGTTTTGATTGTTGGATACAGTGTTTTGAGATTTAGCAAAAAATGGTGTTAAGTTATTTATATTTAATAAATTAGAAAAAAACATCCTATGTAGCATATCTGGAGGATAAGAGTTTTCAATTAAAATATTTTTTAACAAATGAAGATCTTCTTGTAGATAGTCTGGATGAGAAAGTTTTAAAACACGTTCCTTTAATCCTGTTATAAGGTTCTTTTTCATCTTATTTGGATGATTAGAGTAATAGCTTATAAATCTATTACTACATATGGGTTTTCTGAACCATCTGGTTTTCAACATATTGTCTGTATTTCTTACAATTCTCATGTCAAGGAATGGTAGAGAATTATCTACCTCTTCCTCAACTGTAAATTGTATATGTTGATTATGATTGTTGAAAATGTTGACTGTTTCAAGAATTTTGTGTTTAGGAAGTGCCAAAACTAGATCATCTACATATCTTTTGATAAATGGAATGAAAAAAGTGCAATTATTGATACAATCACTAATAACATCATCCATGACATAGCTACTTAGAATGGGCGAAAGACTAGATCCCATAGGGCTACCAAAAATTTGTTTATAAAAAACACCATTAAATATAAAAATATTAGAATCAAAAACAAAGTTGATGAGTGTTTTAAAATGTAATAAGTCAATATTAGTATGTTGCGAAATCTCATTCCAATGTTTTTCAACACTACTTATGATTAAATTTAAAGGTAAATTGGTAAAAAGAGATGTTACATCAAACTAACTAAAACATAATTTTGTGGTAATTGGAAATTATTAATGAAAGAACTAAAATCAAATGAATCTTTTATGTAAAAATTGTTGTTTAAATTATAAGCATTGGTTAAGATGTCAGTGAGGAGCTGTGCTATTGGTCCATTTGGAGGGCATAGAGATGAAACAATTGGTCTCATAGATAAAGTTGGTTTACGTATTTTAGGTAGAGCATAAAACCGTGGTGCAATAGAATTATAAATTTTTAGTTCTTTTGCTTTTTTATTATCAATAAATTTCTTACTGTTCAATTTTGATACTAGACAATTTGCTTTTTGTTGTAAAGTACAAACAGGACTCCTTCTATGTGTAGTGTAATAACTAATTACACTACACTTAGAAGGAGTCCTGTTTGTACTTTACAACAAAAAGCAAATTGTCTAGTATCAAAATTAAACAGTAAGAAATTTATTGATAATAAAAAAGCAAAAGAACTAAAAATTTATAATTCTATTGCACCACGGTTTTATGCTCTACCTAAAATACATAAACCAACTTTATCTATGAGACCAATTGTTTCATCTCTATGCCCTCCAAATGGACCAATAGCACAGCTCCTCACTGACATCTTAACCAATGCTTATAATTTAAACAACAATTTTTACATAAAAGATTCATTTGATTTTAGTTCTTTCATTAATAATTTCCAATTACCACAAAATTATGTTTTAGTTAGTTTTGATGTAACATCTCTTTTTACCAATTTACCTTTAAATTTAATCATAAGTAGTGTTGAAAAACATTGGAATGAGATTTCGCAACATACTAATATTGACTTATTACATTTTAAAACACTCATCAACTTTGTTTTTGATTCTAATATTTTTATATTTAATGGTGTTTTTTATAAACAAATTTTTGGTAGCCCTATGGGATCTAGTCTTTCGCCCATTCTAAGTAGCTATGTCATGGATGATGTTATTAGTGATTGTATCAATAATTGCACTTTTTTCATTCCATTTATCAAAAGATATGTAGATGATCTAGTTTTGGCACTTCCTAAACACAAAATTCTTGAAACAGTCAACATTTTCAACAATCATAATCAACATATACAATTTACAGTTGAGGAAGAGGTAGATAATTCTCTACCATTCCTTGACATGAGAATTGTAAGAAATACAGACAATATGTTGAAAACCAGATGGTTCAGAAAACCCATATGTAGTAATAGATTTATAAGCTATTACTCTAATCATCCAAATAAGATGAAAATGAACCTTATAACAGGATTAAAGGAACGTGTTTTAAAACTTTCTCATCCAGACTATCTACAAGAAGATCTTCATTTGTTAAAAAATATTTTAATTGAAAACTCTTATCCTCCAGATATGCTACATAGGATGTTTTTTTCTAATTTATTAAATATAAATAACTTAACACCATTTTTTGCTAAATCTCAAAACACTGTATCCAACAATCAAAACATATATTATCATTCACTACCTTTTATACCATCATTAACTCCTAAATTAATACAAACACTAAAGGTTATTGACAATATAAAAATAGCAACAAAGAACATCAAAGCCATTTCATCTTTGTATTCTAAAACTAAATATCCTATAGACAAATTAGATCAAACAAATGTAGTATACAGCATTGTTTGTACTCAGTGTGAAGCTGAGTATATTGGTGAGACTGGAAGAAATCTCTCAAATCGCATTATTTCTCACAAGAGTGATTGCAGAATTAAGAAACCATCTTGTGCTTTGGCAGAGCATGTAATAGACAAAGACCATATTATGGATTTTGATAATATTAAAATTTTATGTAGTGAAAGTAATAAATTTAAAAGAACTTTTTTGGAAATGGTTTGTATTAGCAAAAGTGAATAATTTAAACAAAAGGTCAGAAATTCAAAATCTAAGCAAAATTTATAATTATATTATTTCTATGTAATTTATATTATGCAGTCAGTAAAATATCACCTTTTGAATTTTCCATGTATTTGTTACATTTTTTCGGGCATCTATCAATGGTGAATAAATCTTCTTCTTTGTTGTTACTAAACAAAGAAGAATTTTTTAAACAAAATTTTATTTTTGACAATATGTCAAAAATAAAAATTTTTAAGTCAGTTTTTATGACATTTAGGCGGTTTGTAGCTATTCAATTTTTGTTTACAAATTCAATTGTTTTTGTTAAAAAACTATCAAAATTTTTCAGAGAAATATTTATTAGAATAGGACATTTTTTTATTAATATTTTTTGTAATTTTTATGTAAGCAGCAGTTTTATATAACAAACTAATTTTATTTGGTGAGTTAACAAAAAATTTTTTATTTCTAGTTCAACTTTGTAAGATATTTTGTATTTTTTAGAAGCTCTTGATAATAATTGTAATCACAATTGAAGCTCGAGTAAAAAATAGTCAACAAATAGCCCCTTTTATTGACTCCAACCCATCCAAAACAGTTTTATATTTTTTCCAAATGAGTCACAATTACTTCTTTTTTCTTATATATATATATATATATATATATATATATATATATATATATATATATATATATTATATATGTATATATATATATATATATATATATATATAAATATATATACAAACAACAACAATTTATTAGGGTTGCAGTCAGAATATTGGCCGGGATGTTAAAAAAACACTCTTTTGACTTTTTGTCGAGCTTTCGGAATGGTTTTATTCCTTTTTCAAGACACTGTAAAAGACAATTATGTAAATATTTAAAAAATATCACAATTCTTCAGTGTAACTTACTAGTCGTTGAGATTATTTTTGTAAGCATTGACACTCAACATTTATACCACACATTAAAATATACAATTATGGACATAATACATTATAAAATTTTTAAAATTTATTGTAAAAATAGTAAAACTTGGTTGATGGCATGTTTTACTGGTGTATATTAACTCATACAGAGAATGGAAAGTAAAAACACTAATTAATATGTAATTAGGTGTAATTGATGTTATCTTTATTTTCAAGAAATACTAGAGGCCTTTCTTAAGTGACTATACTTTTTAAACCTGTCTTAATGGTATGCAACATATTATACATAGAGGTGTAATTTATGTACAGGTAAATATTTATTTTATTTTTGGTGTTTTTCCAGCAAATAACAATAAATGTTGCTTAATTTGTCTATGTCGGACTTTTTGTTGATGCAAGATGTGCTAGATTTTATGTCCATAATTGTATATTTTAATGTGTGGTATAAATGTTGAGTGGCAATGCTTACAAAAATAATCTCAACGACTAGTAAGTTACACTGAAGAATTGTGATATTTTTTAAATATTTACATAATTGTCCTTTACAGTGTCTTGAAAAAGAAATAAAACCATTCCGAAAGCTCGACAAAAAGTCAAAACAGTGTTTTTTTAACATCCCGGCCAATATTCTGACTGCAACCCTAATAAACTCTGTTGTTTGTTTATATCGACAGTCAATAATATCCAGTATTTCTTATATATATATATATATATATATATATATATATATATATATATATATATATTAGGCGTTATTAAAATGGTTCCAAAAGTTTTTTTTTGTCCTTTAGAAAGAAGTTGAAATGCTCGGTGATCCAGAACTAAAAAACTTACAAGTAGGAGACATCATTCAGCTACAACGACGAGGATTTTTCCGCGTTGATGTAGCTTACAAACTGGGAAATCTACATACTTACAAAGAACAAGCAGTTATACTTTTCCATATTCCTGATGGACATGCTAAAGAAAGCATTCCCGGACAAGCTGTAGCCAAATCTAAAACGATTGTTAATCCAAAAGCGGATAATAAGGTAAGATACCGTTAATTTAACAAGAACTTCGATATTAATATATTAAAATATGTGTTTTGCCAGTAAAATAAGTTGCCAGTATGTATTAATATTCCCACAATGTACTTTACAAAAATAATTTCTGAATTGATTTGCTTTCATCAAAATCCGAATCCAAGAATATCAAATATACATTAGATCTAGTCTTTTCGGCAATTTTGCAGTGGCAGAACACTACCATAAAATTTCCAAAAATAAAAACAGACAAGAAAGCTACTTTTCTACTTCTAGATAACAAATATTTTTTGAAATAAGCTTATTAACGCCAACTACTTGACATTACTTGACGTCGTCCCTCCCCCGGCATCGAACTCGTTAGAGGAGAGCCTAGCAAAAGATGCAGTTTAATTCCCAGGGCGTCCACTACTTCGTCTTGACACTATGGGAGTTTCAACATCCTTGAGGTTAGCGTGTGTGAAAAAGTGGAGACGTGGAACACACCAAGGGCACTATGGGTGTCTACTCCACAAAACTCGCAACTCACAGGCGATACCACTAGCTTGATTCTATTTTTCCATCTCTGAGTAGAATTTAGCTGTCGATCAGCATGTTTCTATTTCATTTTTTCGCGATCAAACACGAACTTTTGTCGATTTAAGCGACTAATACCACGGTGAAAGCGGTCCATGGGACTTTGAAAAGTCATTGGGGCTTGTTTAGTCCAAAAGGCATCCGTAAGTACCGGTAAGTCCCGAACGGTGTCACAAATGCAGGTTTATCACGGTCAACTCCCACGACATTAACTGAATGATACCCCGATCGTAAGTCTACGGTAGACATATAAACAGTTCGCTTAGCGGCGTGTGATTCGTCCATACCTGGCAACGGATAAGAGTCACTAGTAGTTTATACGTTGATAATCTACGTAAAGTCTCTTTCCGCCATCTTTTTTCGGGACTAAAACAACTGGCGCGTCCCATGCACTTTCAAATTCTTCGATGATGCGTTATTCCAGGTGTTTATCTAACTCAGTTTTAATCGCTTCTCTCTTTGCAGGTGACATTCTGTATGGTGGCAGTGCAATTGGTGCGTTATTTCCAGTATTAATGCGATGCTATGAATAGGTTGTAGATTCTCCCTCCATTCTGAAGGTGTTCTTCGTACTTTCTAAAAATCATCGAGTCGAGCCGAGCTCGTTCGTATCATCCTGTCTTTTAAAGTTTCACACAATGATTTCAATAAATTCTGTACACTTCGATTCAAACAGCAACTCCTATCGTAAGCTTTCATTTGCAAAACACCATTCTTTGGTCAAAAAATCTATACCAAGAAGATTTAGGTTCATTAGGAAAAACTATAGACTTGGAGATACCATTTTATCTCTTATTTCTATATCAACTACCATTGTCAACACTCGATCATTTCTACTAATCATCAACAGCTACTCCATCCGTCGTCGGATGTAAGCCTCCCTTAGGTGTGTCCATTCATTTCTATTAGTAGTTTTTAAATCCATTCGTGACCAGCCATTCGGTTGATGTCATCAGTCCATCTGGTTTGAGATCTGCATCTACTTCTCTTGATTGCTATTGGTATCCATTCAATAATCCCAGGCGTAGGTCATGTGCTATGCCAAAATAAATCACCTTTCCAAGGTTCTAAGGGAGGTTAATCGATAAAACTCAAAAATAATTTCACATATTTGTTTATTAACACTGATAAAAGATATTTTTCAAAGGCAAACAGTTATTAATTAATGCAATTTAATAAGCAAAGGAACTAATTGTTTAGTAGTACTTTCCGCTGATGTTCGACTTCAAGAGGGCTACTTATCTGTGTTGACTCCGGCGAGGGATCTCCGCAGTCGTCCTTAAATTTTGGAGGCGTTTCGACTTCGTGTAGCCTCTGTTGGATCGAGTTGTGCCCAGACGCAGGCTCTTATTATAACATTGTCGGCACCGGTGCTGAACGTAGCGACTGGATTTTTGTCTAGTTGTTGAAAAAAAATTCAGTGTGTATTACTATGAGCATTCGAGCACATGAGGCCCACGTTTGCAAGGAGTCCCAGTTCGCGTATAAAAATACTGAACTATTTCTATAAGTCTAATTTATTTACTTTTATTTCCCTTATTCTAATTCACTAAGACACAATAATTTATATCAATTTATTATACCTCTTATACAATACAACAATTTATTTTTGACTGACCTCACTGTTTACATAAAATTTCTATTTAAATTTAAATACAGTTATTCTGGAATCACGGCGAAGGATCGATGACCTTCCATCGACGGAATTCCATCAAAAGCAGGTTTTTTATATCGGAGGGAGACCCATCGTTTCAGGTAGGTATTACCTGGAATTTCTGCCAACATGTAAAATCTAAATCATATCAGAATTAGAAAGAATATTTATGAGACATATTTATCGTAACATTGCCCCCTCTTTAAAGATGGTTCCTCCTGGAACTTTGTCGGGACTGGAACTGGAACGGTATGCTGGTATCGGCAACTGGACACTGTTTTACAACTTCCAGTATAAAAATGACAAGGAACGGTTTTCTCTCTGCACCAATAACTATGCGGATTGCAACAGACTAACACCTGGACTTCGGTGTCTTTAAAGAGCTCCTCCACCATATTTCGGATAATCCTCCAATCTAATTGGCGGCACTCCAACTTTTGCATGGCTAACTTTTGCACGTCGGACTCTAGTACGTGCTCTCTCAATTTAAGTAAGGCTTCCCATACATCTCGGTAAGTGTTGGTCACGGGCAGTGTCTTTTGTTACCAGGTAAAATAGGTAACGTGATGCATTTTGGAGTTTCAAGGCTTTTCCGGGAGCTGGCACTTGGTATTGCAGTTCTGCAACTCGACCGAACTTCCTTCGAAAGACGGATGCCAACCCTGGTGCGTCTTTTATACTGGCTGGGATGATAAGGGCCAATGAGTAGTCATCGGGAAGCGCGAGTAGATCTTGCCTTTCTTCAATGGCAACACCATGTCTTGCTTTACCGGTACCTCCATAGGCACCCATGAATTCCTCAAACGTGAGGTCAGACACATCTTGGACTTGGTTTACTTCCACTTCTTCATCTACGTCGTGGTCACCTTCGAAAGACGCCAGCCGGTTATGGTGTACTATCATCGGCTTTCCCCTCGTATTCTTGCTTATTCGGTAAAGGTTTATGTAAAGTCACATAGATGTAATTTTATTTGCAGAAATGATGTTTCCTTGAGTGGCTATAGTTTTCGTTACAGAAATGATTTGGTGACCCCTACTCGTCACTTGACTGTTGTGGGCAAGGGTCCTTAACCAAACATGCGTTAGTTTGTATAATAAATTACCTAATTATGTTAAGAGTCAAATATTTATGTATTTAAGAGAACAGTTAAGGACTTCTGGCAAACACTTTCTATTCGTCAGAGGAATACTTGCAGGCATCTTTTTAACAATTTGTATGTTTTTGTGTATATTTTATGTTTTATGTGCTTATAGTTTTAACTTTTTTACTACCTATAATAATAATAATAATAATAATAAGTAGGAACCTCAGTAGGAAAGATTATCCACCAAGAACTAGCTGACAAACTGGGACTTCTCCAAACCCACCATCTTCCTTATTATCAATATGTCCCTGACAGAATGCTTGAAAATGACAACTACAAGCTATACTGGGACCGCACTGTGCTCACAGACCAACCAGTGGCCCATAATAGACCGGATCTCATACTAGTGAATAAAATTACCAGGCAAACAACACTTATTGATGTGGCGATACCTAACACTAACAATTTGCTTGTTAAATACAACGAAAAGATCGCCAAGTATAGAGATCTGGAAATACAAATCAAGAGACAATGGAGAATGGAAAGTACCCAGACAGTACCTATTGTTCTATCTACTACTGGTGTTATTCCCAAAAACCTTCTAGCGAACATAAAACAGCTGGGTCTAAAAGAACATCTTTATAAGGCCATGCAGAAAGCTGTACTCCTCGCGACCTCCAGATGTGTACGAAAATTTCTGGGAGATACTCCGACATACCAAGTCACCTAGGGCTCGATAACACGGAAAGAGTCCCACCAGAGCTCAATCCTTTTGATACCGTAGGTATCTGGGATGAGTGAATTTTCCCCTTAGAGGGAGTGTCAGCCGTATGGCTAAATCTGGGATAATAATAATAATTCGACGCCAGCTACCCATAACAACAATGCTGGATGGATTGAAGACACCACGAACAAATGTCAACACTACAGGAATATTCCTTATGAACCTTTCACCACTGAAGAAGTCTCGAACATTATCAAAGAGCTTCATAACTGGAAATCTCCTGGACCGGACGGAGTTCAAAACTTTTGGCTAAAGAAGTTTTGGAGTGTACATGAGCTTTTAACAGTATTTATTAATAATATTATTTCTAATTCACAGGAAATACCATCATTCCTTACTCAGGGAACCACTTATCTAATACCGAAGGATCAAAATAACACCCAAGATCCAGCCAAGTACCGCCCAATTACTTGTCTTCCAACTTTGTACAAATTGGTCACATCCTGTGTGGGCGGCGTATCTACCAACACTGTGCTCTGAACAATATCATAGAGCCCCAACAGAAAGGATGCGCTAAGGGCTCCATGGGATGCAAAGAACAACTTATTATCGACTCAGTCATTTCTAACCAGGCATACACCAAAAAAAGAAACCTTTTTACTGCCTTCATTGACTACAAGAAGCTTTTGATTCAGTGCCGCATGAATGGCTTATAGATATATTGAAAATATATAAAGTCGATGATAATCTCGTGACCTTTTTGAAACATATAATGGCAGAGTGGAAGACTAAAATTCACCTTCAAATACCTGGTGAAATTAATATCGAAACTGAAGATATCCCTATTAACCGGGGCCTTTTCCAGGGGGACTCCTTGAGTCCACTTTGGTTCTGCCTAGCGATGAACCCACTATCTCAGCGGCTGAACTCTACTGACTCAGGATTTAGCATCAAAAATAACAACACC